ATAACTATGCTAAATAGGCCGGTCGGAAGAAGAAGGAGGGGGCGACCTAAACTCAGATATCTGGACGATGTACAGGAAGATCTGAGGGAGATTGGCTGGAGAAGACAGACACTCGATAGGGAAGGATGGAAGAATGTTTTGAAGCAGGCCAAGGCTCACGAAGGGCTGTAGCGCCAACTGATGATGAATGAGTTAAGTTTAAACATTTTTGGCTACCGTGTTACATTGCTTTGTTCCGACTTCCGTTATAATACGTCAATATTGTCATATCAATTAGTTGCTATCAACAAGTTCTCGTAGACACTTTGTATCAAGACTAGCAACCTCCAGTGGAGTCTTACGTTGCCATGTTATTAATTAATAATTGTTATTAAGTATTCACCACATTTTGTAATAACCTTAGTCAAAATTTTAAACTTCATGCTTTTTTTAATTAAAGGGGTTATATACTTTTAGGATAACACTGATGATGGAATAATAATTCCAAAAACGATCTGTTGATGTAGCCCGATAGGGTGTTTTAATTATACGCCTTTTATACAGGATTCTTTTGTATTTTTTGTAGTACATGGTATACAGCCAGATATATGAACTTAGTTTCCTTGTGGATGATATATATATATATATATATATATATATATATATATATATATATATATATATATATATATATATATATATATACATATATATATATATATATACATACATACATACATATATACATATATATATATATATATATATATATATATATATATATATATATATATATATATATATATATATATATATATATATATATATATATATATATATATATGCACCCCAGTGTGGAGTTACACCGCAAAAGCTTTCTAGATCCTATTTCTTAAGTGGATCAGTCTTTTTTGTTTATCTTATCTTCTTGACAATATCTTTCCATTTTTTCCTGTCTCTAGTTCGTCCTCTCCATTCTCTGACTCCAGCCCTTTGTAGGTCTTCTTCAACTTCTTGCAGCCACTTTGACCTCGGTCTTCCTCTTCTCTTTCTTCCTCCTGGATTTTATTCTATCATTGCGTATGTCTCTGCCTCATCGCCTGCTCGCCAAATGTTACCTAACCATCTAACTCTGCATTGCTTTATTTTAGTTACGATGTCTTCCTTAAGTTCTTTCTTAATTTCTGCATTTGTTCTGCTTCTATATTCATTTTGCTCTGTTCTGATTGGTCCTAGTATGGTTCTTATATTCTTTCTCTCTGCTATTCTCAAGTCTTCTTCATCTTTTTTAACCGTCGTCATTGTTTCTCCTGCATATAATAATATTGATCTAATTATGGTGTTATAAATGCTCATCTTACTTTTTTTAGTCAGTGTTTTGCTTTTAAGTAATTTTTTGTTTACAAAATAAGCTTTATTCGCCGCTAACATTTTTTTTTATTTCGGATTTCCTTTCTCCGGATTTACTTATTGTAACTCCTAGGTATTTGAAGTATTCTACTTCTTCAAACTCAGAACTTCCTATTTTAATTTTTTCTTTCATTGGTTTTTTCCCTAATCTTAATATTTTTGTCTTTTCTTAATTTATTCTTAGCCCAATTACCTCCCCTTTCTCTCTTATTTCTTCAAGCATTTCTTCTATTATTTTTCTGTTCTTTGCAATAATAGCAATATCGTCTGCATATGCAATTATTTGACCACTTCTTGTTCTGAGATTTCCTTTATTTATATTTCACAGTACATATTCTAATGCTAGATTAAATAGCGTTGTTGATAAGGCATCTCCTTGTTTCATCCCTTTATTTATACTGAATTTCTCTGTCTCTCCTCTTTGTGTCTTTATGCTTATTGTTGTTCTCACTGTCATTTTTATTAATTTTCTGAGTTTTTGTGGAATTTTTAATTTTTTAAGTGCTATCATTAATACGTTCCTTTTAATTGAATCAAATGCCTGTTTGAAGTCCATGAATAACATTTCCAATTCTAATTTATACTCGTGTGCTTTTTCCATTATTTGTTTTATTGTGTGTATTGCATCTATTGTAGATCTTCCTTCTGTGAATCCACATTGGTACTGTCCTACTGTCTTCTTTGTGATCTTTTATAACCTCTTTTTTATTATTAATGTCAATATTTTATATGTTGTATTTAGTAATGTTATTCCTCTGTAATTTCCACAGATTTGTTGGTCTCAATTTTTATGTACTGTTATGATCTGCCCTACCTCCCAGTCCCCTGGCATTTTCTCTTCTTTCCATATATTTTTCAATAGTGCCAGTATTTTTCCTCTTAGTTCCTTTCCCTCGTATTTTATTAGTTTCATATTAATTCCATCTTTACCAGGGGCTTTTCCATTTTTGCTTGTCTGTATTACTTCATCCAATTCCTCTAATGTTGGTTCTTTTGAAATTTCGATGTCTACTTCATTTACTTTATCTGCTTCTTCTTCGTGTACCGTTTCCTCCTCGTTATGCATTTCTTCTTCTGTTGTTTTCTCCGTCAAGAGCTCTCTGTAGTAATCTCTCCATACTTGCTTGTATTCTTGGTCCTCTATTATCACTATTCCCTCTCTATTTTTTATTCCGTTTGTTTTGCCCTTGCATTTTTTGTTTTGTTCTTTAATCTTTTTGTAAAAACTTTTCGTATTTCTGTTTGTTCTTTCCTGCTCTATTTCCTGAATTTTTTTGTTTATCCATCTTCTTTTATTTTTCCTTATCACTTTCTTAGCATTCCTTCTTAATTTTTCATATTCTTCTCTGTCTTCCTCTTTATCTGTTCTTAGCCATTTATTTCTGGCTTGCACTTTTTTTCGTGTTATTTCTCTACATTCTTGGTTATACCATCCGTTTTTTTGTTTTAGCCTGACTTTTACCTATCTGCATATTTGCACCTTCTTCTATTGATTTTTTTATTGTCTCCCATTCTGTGCTTATGTCTTCTGCTTTATATTTCTCTTTTATTTGAACTGTTACTACCTCTTCATATTTTTTTCTTACTTCTTCATTACTCAATTTATTGACATTCCACTTTTTATGTTTGTTTTTTTGTTTTGTTTCAATTTTAACTTTTTGTCTTATAGTGGCTGTGACCATGTAGTGGTCTGAATCTGCACACGCACCTCTGAACGTTCTTACATCTTTTATTGACGATTGTTTTCGTTTATTAATCATTATGTGATCAATTTGACTATATGTTTTCTGATCTGGTGACCTCCATGTTACCTTATGTATCTTAGGGTATTCAAATTTTGTTGAGCTTATTAACAAATGTATTCTTGTTGCTAGGTTACACAGTCTTTGCCCATTGTCGTTCGTACTTTCGTGTATTGTATGCTTTCCTGCAATTTGTTGTAAAAAGTCCTCTTTTCCAATCTGGGCGTTGAGGTCTCCTAGTACAAATATGATCTTATATATCTTCTTTGGGTATTTTTTATATCTCCTCTTCGACCTTATCATAGAAGATTTCTTTTTCGTCTGCATTGATTATTTCTGTGGGAGCGTATAAATTCAAGATTGATATATTAAATGGTTTGCTGTTGACTCTAACATAGACTTGAAATATTGGCATATTGGCTTGAAATTTACAATTTTCTCTCTTAGGTGCCTTAGTATCATGAATCAAACGCCTTTTCGCCCTTGCTTCTTTCCTCCTGAATATAACATTGTAAAGTCTTGTTTATCAATCTGTCCCTGTCCCTCCCAGCGTAATTCTTGTAGTGCTGCAATATCTATTTTACACTTTTTGAGTTCTTTTCCTATTTCTAGCATTTTTCCTGGAGCTAGCATAGTTCTTATGTCCCATGTGCTTATTTTCAACTTTTTATTTTTTTGTTCTGTTCCTTTATTTTTGTTTTCTTGTCCATCTCTCTTTATTTCACTTTTCTTGTGTCCGGGTTTATCTGCGGTCATTTCCTGTTTCTTTGCCTCGTCCGTCAACGAATATTGCATTCTCTCATCCCTTGCTAGTTTTTGAACCACCTCCATAATGGTCCTCCAGCTGGTTGGTGTTTCTATTCCATCTCCTTTCTAGACCATCTATTATAAGTTTGTTTGCTTTAATTTGGACACGTTTACCTTTCTTTATTTCATCTTTTGCTATTCTTCGCATTTCCTTTTGTATTTGTAATTCCTCTGTCGTTAGATCATTGTTTATATATATTTTTTCTTTTTTCACTTCTTTAAGTTTACTTTTGTTTTCCATAATTTTTGTTTTTTCTTCTTTGTTTGGCAGTCTTACTAAACATGTTTTATCTCCTAGTTTCACTGCTTCATCTATATTTACGGTAATATTTAACTCTTTTGTCATAAAATTTCCTATCACATTATTTTCTTTTCTTATTCTATCCAGCCTTTCAAGGCGTCCTTTTGTCTCATTCAGATCCTTTTTGATTTGTTCATTTTCTTTCCAGATTTCACTATTCTCTTGTTTTAGTTCTGCCAGTCTAGTTTTGAGTTCCCTCACTTCTTCTCTGTATTGTTTTTGTTCCGTTTTTACTTCTTTTATATCAGTTTTTAATTCTTGTAACTCTTTTGTTAAATTTTTTATCATATTTAGTATTTGATCTATTTTATTTTCATCTTTGTGACTCTTAATATTGTGGATGATGTAACAATCTAAAAATTAAAAATTGGAGAAAAAAAGCGCGAAATAAATTAGAAGCGAGAAGAATTCTGGAACATGTAAAGACCCAAAAAAAATTTATCGAAATGATGATGAAAATGCAGTACTACTTATCGCCCAATTTTCTTTTTTGTGTATAAACCAGGACTGTCATAGAATGTACAGAGGGCCTTCTCAGCAAACGTATGGTTGACTATATTCCTTTACTAGGAGTAAATAATAAAGTCATTTATATGGAATACGGGTAATATGGGATTATGATGTGGTATTTATTAATAATAAAAAGCAGATACTAGGTAAATTGGATATATTTTAATATACATGCATTATGCCATTTATTCCTGGTAATATTTTATATACGTTTGTTGTAAACATGGTAAGCTTTGTTTGTATTATTTAGTTTAACTTCCTATTGGACGGATCATTATCCTTGATCCGGATAAATTGTATTCCTTTGATCGGAACCCATTCCAGTTAATTCCGTGATATTTATTCGCATCAGGAAGAATAACAGTTGAATACTTTCCATTCAGACAACTTGTGTAACAACTTTTATACCACCATCCTCCCTCTATAAAAAAAAATTCAATAATAGGTAGATAAATCAATAAAATGTACAAATTATAGTTCTCATTTTTTAACTTTCGTCCCTTTACACTCGAATAAATTTGCTTTTTTATGTTATTATTATTTTTTAGTCTTAATTATTTTATATTATTATCAAAACATTCTAACATTCTTAAATAATATGCTAAATATTACTTTAAAGCTATTTTCTAACCTCTAAAAATCATACGAAAAAGCTGAATATTACCAAGAATATTAATTTTAGAACTTGAAAAAAGATGCAAGAAAATTAACTACACTTACATCCAGGCTTCCCCCTAAATCCTCCCTCGTAGGGGGATAAAAACGTAAAAAAAAAATCGATTTACCAATAATCAGTACACCGCAGAAAAAATATTTTAAATAAAAATTGTAGCTGGGATAATTTTAAACAAAAATGTTTATGAGTTCAGCTTTTGCATGCAATGTTTGTATTTTGCCTTTCTTTTTCAAGAAGTTTTGCTCTTTCGTATACAAAGAATTGTATTATAAACGGCCCAACACCGAAAGGTACAAATGGGTCTACTGATTAACCCTGCTGTACCGTTCGAGTAAACTACACAAATGTACTGTTCGGGTCAATATGACCCAACTATGATTTACGCTCCCCAATAGAAATAAAATAAGCTAATGGTGCTAAACAAAACTGTATTAATAAAAAATTATAGTTAATTAAACAATAATTATATTGTTACTGTAAATTAAACCTTATTAACAAAAATAAAAAGCATTTTTTCTTTCCCAGAAAATCCTAAGAACAAATATCTACAAAATTTAATTCAGTTTACAACTGGGACAGTAATAGAAAGAATGGGTTTTACAAATATGTTTATGACATATACAACATAAAATATTAGTCTTGTTATCCCTTTTAGAGCAAAATTTACAGCGTGCTCGTTTAGCAGGCGGAGTTGGATGGTCCATAGACGGTTCACTAGAATTTCCATCTTCTCTACTCGCTTCTGCTCGTGTTCTTTTTACCAGTTCTTGTGAGTCTTTAGTTCTCGGTAAATTTTTCCTGGAAAGGATAAGTGGTTTCACCAGTGTTTTTCCCAACTCCTTAAGAAAAATTCGTCGTTTTGTAAGTTTATTGGTATTCCATTGGGGATTTATCGATGTCCATAAAACGAACGCGTTGTAGGCAGAAATGTCCAGCATATTGTAAAAAACAATCATGGGCCAGCGATTTGTCTTCCTCTTACATGTATATGTACCAACAAGCTGATCTAGAGTATCCACTGCCCCCTTACTGGAATTGTAATCTAAAATAATTTGGGACTTCTTGTCATTTCTGTCACTAATAGTCTTTTCATGATGCAAAGTACTCCTCATAAGAATAACATTTTTATTCTTTTTAGGAATATAGTTAACAACAGTGGTATCTTGTGTGAAGTAAAAAAGACGAACTATGAACTTCTTTATTTGCAATTTGTGCTGGAAGCTCTCGTTTATTTTTTCTTATAGTCCCCAGCATTGTATTTTTTCTTTTTAGAAGAAGTTGTCCTAAATTGTACGATGTAAAAAAGTTATCACATGTAATATTGTGGCCTTTCAAATCACTACTCAAGTCGCACACCACACGCATTCCCTGATTTCGTTCTGGCGCGGCACCTGCTTCCTTTCCTGTATAGATTTGCAATTTTAGAGCATAAGAACTTTTACTGTCACATAAGGCCCAAACTTTTATGCCATATTTCGCTGGCTTGCTTGGAATGTACTGTTTGAATGGACAGCGACCTCTAAAGGCAACTAATTGCTCGTCGACGGTAACATTTTCATCAGGGTTAAAAAATTTTGGTAGATTTTCAACCCATTTTTCCCAAATTTCACGTATTGCAGCAAGTTTATCAGTACGTCTCCTATCCTGTCTAGTAGTCTTGTTATCAAAACGTATTACTTGCGAAATTTTTGTAAATACTTCAAGGGACATTGTTGCTCGAAATATACTACGACCCGTTTCTTCATTCCACAAACTTTTAGTTGATTCACCATGGGACTTAAAAACTCCAGCTAACAATAACAGACCAATGTATGCTTGAAAACCAATTTTATCTAAGTCTTTCCAGTTGTTTCCAAAAACACGCTGTCCTTCCATGTTGGTCATATTTATAATTTGGTTTGCAACTATGTCAGAAAAGAGTGCGTCAAATGAATTTTTAATATCGAAAATTCGTGCACATGCGTACCTTGTAACTCCTGGAGCATTATTTATAACATTGGCCGTAGAAAAACGACCGCGTTGATAAGGAGGATCGAGCGACCATTGGATAGTATCGTCTTTTGAAGGAACCGTTACAGAAGGTTCTACAGGATGTTGTACGTAGAATGGAACACCAAAGGATTCATCACTACTTTCTTCCTCACTCTCACTACTTGTATTGTTTTCTGTTTCTGATATGCACTCATCACTCTCTGACACGTTCGCGAGCTCGCGATGCTCATCTTCGGTTAGCGCTCTACGGTGCGACATTATCAACATGCAAACATAGACTGAAATTTGAAATATAAACGAATAAATGAATGCGCTTGGCCTTGGAATATTAGTGTTTTACCACTTGTCTATCACCCCCACTTCCTTTTACGTGACATGCCATTCTACCTGACATCGTCCAGCTACACTACACATATTTTACAAGTTCTAGCTTGTAGAAACTTGTTTTTATTTATAGACGTACCTGACTGACAAACACTATTAGAAAATATAAAATACTACCAACTAAACATACCTATACAGGTAATTTTTAACGGTTTAAATAAGTGGGTCATATTGACCCGAGCGTACCATAGGTAACAATTTAATTTTTATCAAAAAAATGAGCAAGTTGATTTTTTATCTTTTATGCAATTGAAAGACCTCATATTAAGTAATAAAGTCACGAAACATCAAAACGTTACGCCGCGTAATAATTTGTAAAATAAGAAATAATTTTTTTTTTGGGTCAAATAGACCCGAACAGGACAGCAGGGTTAAGTAAGTTTGTATTTTGCCACAAATAAACTTAGAATTAATAAAGTAGTTAAATAAATAAACGTGCCACGACATTTGCAATTTTTTGTGACTCCCATAAGATTAATTTAGTCAGTTCATATCATTAACTGGCCACTATGAAGTTTCGATTGTGAGAGCCCAACCTTTAAAAATTATACCATGAAATTGTAGTTTTGGCAACAAATGTGAAGCATTTAAAATATGCTTAAAAGACGCTGGATTTAAACTTTCACATAACAAACGGATCAAATATGTTTATAACTTTTTTATTACACTAGTACGTTTTTTAAAACAACCAAATCTGCTATAAACTACATTTAAAACAGTTTTATTGGAGGCATTTTCCGTAACGTGCGATCTTTTGAAATGTAAAACATTAAATTCTGCGTTTTTTATTCATATGGTAAATGCCTCAAATGCCTTCATATTTATTAGTAGCCACAACTTAAAATTCTAATTTCATATTAAAGTTTTTTTCATAAATATTAAAGATTGTTCTTTAAAAATAAAAATTTTACTACGAATAGTCAACGAAAGTGATTAATTTTATTGATCTCACGAAAATCCAAAAAAATGCAAAAGTAACTCCACGTTTATTCATTATTAACAGCCTTTAAACACTTTATGAAAAATAAACAACATTAAGACCTTCATAAACACTCGCTCGCGCTTGTTACTTTTAAAACGCATCTTGATTTTTATCGAGAGGATACCTGGATCAAAAGATATAGAATTTTTACCGTCTAGCTGATACAAATTATTGAAAATTGATTTCGCGCGCTTAACTGTCATTTAAAATCGACGACAGTCGCTTCACGCGTTGTTTCTGAGAGGAAGGTTTCTTCTACACAAAAAGTGCTAATAAACTTTTTTTTAATTACTTCAGCTACGTTTTTTATTTAAACCATTTTTTCTGCGACCTACAGATTCTGGGAAAATCGATTTTTTGCGTTTTACCCTCCACTTAGGGGGTTTTAGAAAGAAGCCCGGGGGTAAACGTAGAAAAAAAATTTTAAGTAAATAAAATATTAGTCAAAAAGCCAAATAAACAATTGATATGAATCTAGTAGGCTGCTGTCATTTAGGTACTTAAAGTTACTAAAAGCCGTCAGTATAATATTTGTGTGTTTGTATTAAATTTAATTATCGCTTATCTGTCCGAGACTCAAAAAATGAACATTTTAATAAGGATTGATTGTGGTAATAAAACAAGAACTCAAAAGGAGGATTGTGAAATGTTTAGTAATAAATACCCTGGTCAACAAGTGTCGCAGTCTACAGTTAGCAAAATTAAAAAGAAGTTTCGTTATACTGGACATGTAAAAAATATTGAAAAACCAGGTAGAAGTGTTAAATATACTGATCAAAAAAAGTTAGATGTATTTCTAGAGATCGAAGAAAACTAGCCATAAGGTAACTCGATGTTCTCATCGTTTAACAGTTTGAACCATGGGAGTGTCAATCGTTGCGCATCCACTTCCTCAGCGAGATGGCGAAGTGAGTGCGATTCGGAGCGGCTATTCAAGGCATGTGAGTAGCGGAATTAGTTAGTCTTGCAGCTAGCGCTCTAGGCTCCCCGACTCGCAAGTGTATTGAACCTGCGAGACAACCCGGACAGAGAGATTTCCGCGTTGAGGATCATACTATGTCCTTAACTAGGCAGAACTCATCGGGATTGTGTGCTAAACATTGCCGTGGGCCTGCACAGCCGAATATTTTTGTTTGTAAGTGTGATTGGAGCTTCCGCTGTGTTGAAGCGGAAACGAGTATAAGTCTGCGTGCGATCGAATTTATATTTGTTTGTTATTATTAATAACTTTTTCTTTCTTTTGTAGACGTTCGCCGGGGAATTCCTTCATCGCGGGATCCAGACGGGGACGTAGGATTCGTTTTATTTCTATTTTATACGGCGGAGAATTCATTTTATTTTTATTGTACATACGTTAACTTAATAGATATATTTTTATTTCAACCTG